CGTTTCTTACTTATTCAACAATCAATTTGTGTATAAAACTTCATTTAAAAATATCGACCTTTTCAAGGTGTTCGGACTTTTTTTGCACTTTGTACAGGGTGCTCCACGAGTAATAAAGTGCCTGAATAAATTTGAAACGCAACCCAAAATACAGTTTCACCACTATTTTGGATATTATTATAATTACAATTGGAACATTAAACATAGTAACCTTAACACTTGTCAAAAATTTTGACAAAAACTTCAAATTGAAAGATAAAAACAAGTTTTATTTTGTACTAATTGCTTTCCAGTACGATTACAACGGTTACAACGACGAAAAGATTTATATGAAACCCCCTGGGCTCAGCACTGCATCAAACTTAGTATGCAGACTGAAAAAAAAATCATTATATGGACTGAAGTTAGTAGAATAGTTTTTGCATTATATGTATGATATTCATATTTATACGATTATTCATGTTTAAACTTGCACTTTCTCAAAGGTTCGATTGTGAACTTATAATTTTTTCCCTTTCAATGACTGTTTCATTTAATTGTTAATTAGTTTTCTCTGAAATTTTATTTAAAGTCGGCTACCCATTTGTGTTGAAATTTTGGACTCTTCTAACCTAAAACAGTTTTAGTTTCTCCTAGATAATACAACAATTCAATTTTTGTGTTTTTCCTTTCTCACTGACAATTTTCACATTTTCTCGAGGTATCATGAGCCCTAGAGTACGAAAAAATAGCTCTCCCGTTTCCGTTTGTCTGTCTGTCTGTCTGTCCACCGTCTGTGTCAATCTGTTTTGGACAGATAATCTCTGAAGCTTCGGGACCGATTGTTGTAAATTTTACATGTATATTATGAATATCATGTGAAAACGCTAACCAAACTTTGTCTAATCGTCCCCATCAACAACGTGATGACGTCACCTCACGATTATACATATCACATAGGTTTTAGATTGTATAAAATAACATAGTTCTGCATGAATCCGTGTTGAGTTTGTAGGTTAACGAAGAAAAATGTTACTTCTCCGGTGGGAATCGAACCGCACGTTTACTGATTGCCAGGCGGGTGCCCTTACCACTAGACTATGGAAAAGCTTATCTTTCTTCGATTACTACTACGTATTATTGTGCCGCCACAGTACTCCCCCCTAGCGACTCTTACGTTCGTCGTTCGAACCCTGGCGATGCTGCGGATCCCGAACACACCGGGCACAGGGCGGTAGCAGAAGGATGTTGCGTGCGTGCGTGCTGCCTATCGGTGGTCACCAATGTAGGTAAGTGAAGAAAAATGTTACTTCTCCGGTGGGAATCGAACCGCACGTTTATCGCTTGCCGGGAGGGTGCCCTTACCACTAGACTACGGAGGAGCTTATCTTTCTTCGCTTTACATATCTTTATTTTGACTTATAGACGTTTTCGTAAAAAATAAATAAAATTTGCAAAATGAAATTTCATATTTTTTCGAAAAAGCTAGGTATATTTTTGTATGTACCTACTTCAGAGGCGAGAAAACTTCTGTCAAAATAACCCTTGGACCATTTTTTTCGGAATTTGTAAAATGTCATAAACGTGGTGGTGTTGAAATTTGCATAAGCGGATAATATACTTATGACCGCAATTCTTAAGGAATACATAAAATCGGATAAATAACTCGGTGATTTTTTAACAGTAAACAAGTTATTTATGGTATATTTGTTAAATATTTTTCAATTACAGAAGGACAATTCTTTATTTCAAGTTATTTATTCGATTACTGGTGGCAAGTTTTAAAAACAGTATTTAATCCAAAACATGGTGTTGGTATAGTGGTACTAAAATATGATTAATTGGCATAATCTGTAATTTACTTACCAGTCTTAATACGTTATTCGGCATAAAACATATATATTCTTCTATAACGACAATATAAAATTTTTGTAGGTACTGCATAAATACACAGATATTATATAATTTTAAATGTTCTGCATATTTTTTAAACTCCCCGCAACCCCTATGTCTTTAAATATCAAATATATTTAAAGTAGATAACTAACGGGAAAAATGTAGACAATTTCAATTTCTCAGTACGTATATGCTTAACTTCGAGTGTTTATGTTGATACTTCGACAGAATTCGACTACTAGCGCGAACATCGGCGATTAAAAGAAAATGAAATTTGATTTTGTGTCCTCAACGCAGAGGAAACGACTAATTGATTAATCCATACTCAGTTTTTTCCCAAAAACATGCATAAATTTGAAGAAAGTCGGCAAAAATTGACTAACGATTTACCATGTTTCAAGTAATCTTAAAATATTTGCACGATTTCACAGCGTTCGGTTTTTGCAATTTCAGAGTTACATTGTAAACTATTGTTATACAATATTGATTTTTTTTCCAAAAATCTGGATGCTAAGGGTACAAACTCAACACGGATTTATAAATCACACATGCAGGAATATGTTATTTTATAAAATTTAAAGACCATTTGTTCGGTAGAATTCTAAGATGATGCCACAATTTTTTGGGAAGGCCGAATTTTGATTAACGTTTTATTATCTTTCTTATAACTTATAACCTTAAAAGTAAAACGTTTGCAATAATTCATCACATTTGTTTTTGCAATTTTCAAGTTAAATTGTAAAACACAATTTTGAATTTTTTCCCAAAATCTCGATGTAAATTAACGTCATCATTTTGGGAGAAAAATTTTGATTAACAACTTACCATGCTTACGATGATCTTAAAAAACTTTTTTCAAAGTTAAATTGTAAAATGTTACACAATTTTGATTTTTTCCCCTAAAATCTGCATGTCCATGTCTAGTTGTGAAAAATCGACACAGATTCATGAATCACACATGCAGAAGTACATACTCCTATAAAATTAAATATATAGGAACATCAAAAAAAAAAAAAAACAAATTAGTAGTAAGTAAAATGGTAGGTTTCACCCCACATTTTGTTTTTTAATTTATCATAAGGTGCTTTATAATTTTTAACAGGTCAATTTTGACGTTGAAGTGTTTTTCTGTATTTTTTATAAAATCTCGAAGTCAGCGGATTCTATATGGATGGTATCATGATTAAAAACTTTGGAAATCCACAACTTTTTAAAAAATAATCTTAAAAATGGGTTGAAATGTTAAAAAAATGCATTAAAAAAACTTCAACGTCAAAATTGGCCTGTTTGCTTGAAAACATGATATTAAAATAGATGAAAAAACAGGTAAAAAAAACTTAGAGATGAAAAAAAAAATGTGGGGTGAAACGTACCATTTTACATTTTACTGATTTCACTTAATTAATTCTTAAACCCGAACCATTCAGATGAGAATTGGATTTGAAATAATCAACAATGTTTTTGGAATAACCAAAAACTATATTGGGTAAATATAGATAAAAAATTGTAAAATCATGTGATTGTTCTAGAGGTGCATAAGTGAAAAAAAAGTGATTAATGATTTATCATGCTTACGATAACCTAAAACGTTTCCAAAATTTCAGAGCAGTTTCAAAGTTAAATTGCATGATTTTGTAATTTTGTTTTTTTTTTGTCCAAAAATCTGGATGTCTAGGATAAAAATTCAATAGGGGTTCATAAACCACATGTGCAGGAGTATTTTATTTTATAACATTTAAATAATATTTACTACTGTAAATTTTGGAGATGACGTCAACAAATTGTTGGTATATAGAATGGTTAACCAAATTTTGATCATCTACACGATATTCGTAACAGACATATAAAATTTAACAACTGGTTCAGTAGTTTCGAAGATTATCTGTCTAATAAAAATCCGGACAGACGGTAGACCGATAGACAGACAGAAACGGGCGACCTATTGTTTCGTACTGAGTTTAGGCTTTTTTTTTTCTCGGTGTCCCGGCCGCACAGTCTGACACTGCTAAAATAGTACTCGACAACTCCATTGACACGCCATCACAAATTGTTGATTTTAGTTAAAAAAAAAAACAACCATCAGTGTTAATTTTAAAGTAGAGAATAATTCGACTCTCAGATCACTAATATTGATTTCATTTTAGCATTCTTTCTTGTTAACTGTAATTCTGCTACCGGATGTAATTATCGCAGGTGATAAGCAAAATATACATACTTATTATAGAAATAAATAACTTGATTCTCTTTTTCTTTTAAATAAAACTGTGCTTTGTAAAAATGTGTTGTGATTAATTTTATTATAAAGTGTAAAAACTCTAAACTTATTCAGATGTGTTTTTGTGGTTCATTGTCGATAATAATCAACGTATGATCGTGATGTTAGTGTCCACCTGTCGAAATCGGTCTATTTTTCAACAAAGAATGGATTAGATATTTGTAGAGATACAAGAAAACACCCTATTTTAGTTTCCCTTAAGCAGTTCGAATCACAAAAGCCCTCTATCCTCCGGATTGGGGCGAATATAATGGACAATCGATCGAATGTCCGATAACATGAGTTCATTACTTGATAACGTTACCTATAAGCCCTATATCTCGAATCGACTCTCAAAGATCGAATTTACTTACACATAACGGAAACCTTGGTAAACATCCCTCCTAATAGCAGGCAAAGAAAAATAATTAATTTTTATTTTCAGTTACATACAATCGGTTTCAAAGGGCATTGTTTCAGCGAGTACCAACGGCACTTAAGGTTTGAATATAACCATTCCGTCGTCCCTTAAAGACTTAATATAGCTTCGTACAATACCCAAAGTCGAAAGCCACAGTATTCATTCAATTAATTTTTCAATTACTCTTGTCCAATAGGGAGCAAATTCATTATACAAAGACCAAAGAAACTGAAAATAAAAGGGTTGAAGTGGAGAGGTTCTTTGTGGACATTGTTTTTCCAGCGGGGACAAACGCAATTGTAGTGTCTTTGCAAGTGAAGCAGAACTTGGGCAACTTTTCGAGCCTTTGAGTCGATTTCTAAGGCTGCAATTACTTTGCTTCCACCACTTAATTAAGTCAGAAAATAAAAACGGTAGATGTTCTTGAACGTGATTTATTTTTTTCATTATATACAAACCAAACAAATAAAATAACAATAATAATAATAATAATAATAAAATTTTGCATAAAACGATATAATATGTAGGTATAGGAGCAAGTAAAATTTGCTTCCTACATGTTGCCGAAGAAGACAGAAAAGTAAACCTGAACTTATTTTGAGATAGCTGCATAATAAATAATGTATCACAAAATTATTGTTATAAATTTAAGAATGTACTATGGCCTCTATCGAACACAATTGCATTGAGTATAAGGCCGAATGTTACGTTCTACAGGTATACCTAACTATTTACAAAAATCAGTCGTCATTTACAATCACAGAACACATAAATTATAATAACGTAAGTACAGTCTGTCCGCAAAGAAACGAACTAAGCACCTAACATTATATACAAATTTACAACAATTCAATAAATAATCTCGACAAAAAGACGCAACAAAACTTACTTTAATAATAAGCCGCACATATAGATTTACGAGTATCCAGTTCTGGGCCAGCCGAACTGGACGTCGGACTCGGGGAGGGCGGGTACATCATGGACGACGTGGGTAAAGTGGGAAACATCCCCATGGAAGCAGTCGGAAACGGCTTCGGCGTCGCTGTGGGGTAAAATGACGAATACAATGTAGAATGTAGCGACGAATGCAACGACGGTACCATAGACGGGTGGTGGGTCTGGGCCTTCTCCGAAGCCGCCATCCTCGGCATGTCGAAAGCCGGGTTGAAGTAAGGGTAGGGCGAAGTTAGAGCTTCCATTGGCGAGAAATACTGGAGTCCCAAATTCGGGAACCCAACGGCAGTCTTCAGGGCCGTCGGCAACGGTCCCTTGGGCTTCCTCCGAGGTCTGTACTTATAGTCCGGGTGATTCTTCATGTGCTGCGCCCTCAACCTCTTCGCCTCATCGATAAAAGGGCGCTTTTCAGGTTCTGTCAACAGCTTCCACTCGGCGCCTAGTCGCTTCGATATTTCCGAGTTGTGCATTTTTGGGTTTTCTTGAGCAATTTTGCGGCGCTGGATTCTGGACCAGACCATGAAAGCATTCATGGGTCGCTTGATGTGTCCGTCGGCTTGAGTGGTTGGGAGTTGGGGGTAGTCTTCCATCATTCCGTTAAAAGAGTATAAATTAGACATCACAGGCGCACATGAACTACTTCGAGGTCGGTGAACAACTGTGTTGGGTCGACGGTTGTTAAAAGGTAGTTGTGTTTCACAGGAAGGCGGAGTTTGAGGATAAGAGAATCGGGAAAGGGGAAACCCCGCCTGCTTTTTTCTCTATTGGCTGTCGCCACCCCACTATTCGCGGCTTCATTATTTCTTTGTTTTGCTTTTTACTTTTTCGTGCTGTATGCTCTACTCTTGCAGATGACTTGTTTACTTATTTTCAGAATTGTTATGCGCTCTCCGCGGGGCGCGACAATGGACGGAGGCCTGGGGTGGCGGTGTAAACATGCAATAAGAATATAATGTACCGGGTGCATTTGAAAAGTTCGTAGGTAATGGACACGTAAGAATAGGACATTTATAAACGTATTGTTGAGCTAATTTAAAATTTCCAAATGCGAGTTGCCGTCAAATAATTACAGAATATGGATAAAAATAGAGTTTTTGACAAATATAGTCAATTTTTATATAAAATATATTGACCATTATGAATTAAGCAAAATTAGTGACAATAAGCAATTTAAGACACAACATGCTTAGGTATTATATCTAGACGTTAACATGAGTGACCAATTCGTTTTTTTACGAGTGCAGAAAAATATTATTAGGGTAAATGTGTACAAGAGTACGCACTTAGTGTAAAACTGTCAATAACTTTTTAATTTTTTTGTATAGACAAATTTTATGATATGGGTTCCTCATTTACATGTTTAGAGATCAGATGTATTTAATTGTACGTCCCAAGCCACTATATTTTAAGAGTAATTTCAAGTTTTGTCAAGATGTGTAAATGCGCACTCTTAGACAGTTCATTGCACAAGAGTGCGCATTTGAACGCTTATGAGTGCGCATTGCATTTTATGAAAAAATCTTTGTCTCTAAGGTGAAAATAAATGGGAATAAGTGACTACAGACTACACATAAAACGGTAGACCTATTTTTTTGTACACTAGGGTTCTTGAAAAGTCGAGAAAACATAAAAGTAGAGAGTCGATCGACGGACTCAATTACAACACGCTCAGGAAGTAAAAATTAAAAAAAAATAACCATAACCACCACCACACAACTTGAGAAGGAGTACAAAGTAGTATAGTTAAATAATTCATTATCGTATGATATGTATCTACAAGACTATTAAACTACGTATCGCAAACAACGCGCACTCTTATACAATACCTCGCTGCGCACTCTTGTACATTTGTACATAACCTAATGTTTTCAAAGTTAAAAGCTTTTGATGGATAGAAAGTATAAAACTGTTAGTGTATAACGACACCTTAAAAGCTACAGCTAATGAAAATTATTACTGTAAAATAAAAGAACTGGTACGTACCTTACAAAAAACTAAAACTATGAGCGGTAAAAATTACATCCACACAACGTGTGAACATAAAATCGTCAGTACGACCAAACTATAAACTATATTCAAGTCACTTTTACCCCTTTATCTCAGGTTTAGTATTAGATTCTGAATGGTATAACTTCATCTTATCCAGATGGCACTAATAAGCAGAAATCATCAGTGCGTACTCTTATACATATTCGCACTCTTGTACACATTTACCCTACTGCTACCATTAAATTACATGACTTTCTTCCATTGTTGCCAACATACCTAGGTAATAAAAAAATATTAACATGTTTTTATCAATTTCTTCATACTTTAATACAAATAGTGCTTTCTCATGAATAAATGTACCTATTAACTTTTATTTTTTACAAGTTATTTAAACATGTACATATGCTTTTCAATAAAATCAACTAAACTAATAACACGAAATTCAACAAAATGTAAATTAAGGTTCAATTTTAATTTCAGTATTTCGTAAGTAACTTTCATCTTTAAAAACACTACAATATATATTCAAAGCGACATTTTAGAAAAGAAATAAATCACTTTATGACATATACCTCAACACTAGTTTACAATCTTACAAACTTAATTTCGTAAAATTATAAAATTTGATTTGTTAAATTTTATTTTTTTTTGATAACCCCTATAAATTAAAATAAAGATGTATATATACACTATTAAACTACAGGTAATGCTATGCGTATGTTTCTAGTGAATTTTTCATAACAAAGTTTTGTGATGACGTTATCAACTTTTTAGCAAAGATATAAATATTAATTTGGATAAGGACGCTATAATAAGTAGGTATATTATATATTATTATAAGATATTCGATTAGTTCATTAAATTTTCACGCCTCTGGATCATTTGTATGCATTAATCGGTTTAATTTAAATAGAGTGATTAAAAATGTTATATTTGCTCTTTTAAACTTTAACTTGTTTAAACACTAAAATGTAAACCACGTGGTTCTAGACTCTTTTAAAATTCTCCTTTTTTCGCACTCATTCGTTCAATTTTTCGTCTGTATTGTGTGAAAATATAGTGTCTCATAAGTCGAGTGTAGTTAGTTGTAATTTTTAATAACAGCGTGAAATTTTGTAAATATATTCGGAATAATGTGCACGTGTACGTTTATTTTGGCAGGTAGCACCTTCAGCCAATGCAGGTACTCCTTCTGATTTATGACAGAGTCCGTTACGACCGTTTATGACGACAGAATTACAATTTCTTTTTATTGTGTGCTGATTTAAAAGCGCCATAATAGCGAGATAAAGCAAAGTGTGTCTAATGCATTTTATTAGCAAGCCATTTCAGATTTATTTCGGCTACTTGCACGCCAAAGTTTGACGTTGGAGCTGGTGAAGGTCTTTGATTAGAATCATTGTGTGTCCAATATGATATTTTTTGCGAATGATGCGCTTGTAAACCTGTTCCGATTCACAATTTGAATAAATCGATGTCGTTCGTGACGCCATGAACTAAAAACGAATTAAATTCAACCGAAAACGTAAACTTCCCAACTCTCGTCGACAAAACATTTTCTAACACACAACCGAATGTGCCTTAACAGTGCACAAGTGTAAATTTTCATCATAATAGTGAATCGCCGGCTTTTCAATCGAATTCTGTACACAAATATCTGCAACATACAAGCGCCCACAGTGGATATATTGAAATCTTTTCAATTGCTTTGTAAATTCAGACCACACAATGCACCATTTGTGTATTTTATTTGTAGCAGTCCACGTTCCTTATGCCGGGGAAATGGGTTACATTTGTTGGATTAAAGATTTTCTGTATGGGAAAAATCATTCAGTTACACAACACTAAATTCACTCGCACAAAATAAAAATCACTCTTCCCCTAACAACCAGGACGTCAGCGCCAAACACATCTCTGACTCCCACCGGCCTAATTTGCCACCCTGTGACCGCAGACACCATCCATCCAGGTCTATCCATTTTTCCTACGAAAATTTTCGACGCAATTTATTTGTTTTTTTTTTTTTAATCAACAGTTTTGACAGAAATATTTTCCAGGTGAGTTTCCATTTCTTTTACATTTTGTAATTTATTTTTTAAAGCGGCTATATTTTGCTTCGTAATTATCCTCTAGTCTCATTTAGTGTTTCTTGTTTCAGTTGTATTATTATTAATAAGCTACAAAACTTCGAATGATATTTGTAAACGTGTTTCTCTAGGGGAAAATCACTAGGGAATTTCATTTTTAGTTTCAAACTGACGTCTCTAAATGACATTTACATCGACAGGAAGCTCGAACTCCGCCATGTTATTCGTCTTCCATCGCCTTTTCCGTTGGTAGAAAAGTTTAGAATTTTTGTTTTGACAGTCAAGGCTTTTAATTTTAATTTTTACTATTAATCAAATTAAAATCATTAAACGTTAAGCTATTATCCTGCAGATCTCCAGAGGAAGAGAACATGTACTGTAAGTTGTAAATTAGGTTTATACTTATGATAACCTGACCCTCCTTCAATTTCTTCTGAGAAATCATTTGTGTTTGTAATTGTAATTAAATAAAATTTTTAGAAATCTTTTCACCCTTCTTAAATACATATAATGACGTACAACGTGATAACATCGCAAAAGTATAATGTGGTGAGTAGATAATAATTTTTAAATTGGAAAAATTAGCTCTACCGGATAATTACTTATTTAAATAGTAAATTAGGAAGTAGTAAACAAAGAAAGTGTCTGTAGCCCATGTCGGTACCCTTCCAGGGAAGCACCTAATCTTACTCGGTCCGAAATTTATGAATCGGATTAACGACCCCTGCACAGCAGGTCCTCAATTTAATAAGAACAAACACAATTTAAAAAAAAAATTGTATTGTTAAATTAAGTGCAAATGAGCTTCAAAAACGTAATGTCAAAACAACTTCATGAATTTTGGTGAAAGATCTTCATAACTTTGTAGTTGTACGTTATTTGAGTACTTTCTAACTCCTAGACAATAAGGCACTGTTTAAGTAGTGACAGAAACAATACCCACCAAAAAAGAAACAACCTTTGCGCTGCAGAAGATCTTTATTAACGTACTAATTTAACCAAAAATATTTTGACTCGGTTAGTTTGACCTAAAAAATATAAGTATTACTTAAATCAATACTAACCGTACTGTGGACAAAATATGGCACGACATTTTTAATCCTTGTCATATGTTTTTAGGGGCGTATGTCAGTTCGACCACGGCGGTGGGTGGTCATTAAACAAAAGAAGAAAAGCTACAGAGTAGACAAGTACATACGAGAATAGTTATTTACATTATAAATGTCTATCGCATGTATAATGTATGCAACTTTTTGGCCGATGACTTAGTGGTGCTTGTTTTCGTCAATTTTTACATTTTTTTAAATTGTGTGGAATTTGTAAGTAGGCTTTGCCTGCATCAAACGTCAGATATGACTGCTGGTTATGCCACCAGATGGCGCTCTCCAAACTCAATAAAAAAAATCAATTGCTATTATTTTAAAACATTTAACAGATGCATTTATGCGGTATCTTATTTTGGTGAACACAAGCTTTGTTAATGATGACGTGTCAATTTTTTTAAGGGTTTTAAAACTCTGAAAATTTCTGTGTTTAGTACCGCACTTAATTTGGTAAATGGCAGTTCAATGTGTAAAAATCAAAATACCATGGCTA